AGGGACTGGGCTTTCTTTTCCTGTACTTTTCCCTCTGTAATAGAATAGCTCAGGTGTTAATCCTTCAGTTTCTCTGCCTAGAATATCCATAATGTTTTCTAGCATTCTTATATATAGATACAATTTTTTATACATGAATTAGAAAATTCTAAAGTCAAAATTAAACATTTAAATAGTTTTGTCTTAAGCTTTTTGTTCCCTTTATCAGTGTCTAAAATATAGAACACCTAAAGGTATTAGGAACAGAGATTAAAGATTAACGAACTTTTTTATTCTGTAAAAGCACAAAAGGCTTGCTTAATCTATATACTAAATGATCTTACTGTGCTAAATTTTTGTTATGACAGTGAAAATATGCTAAAAGCAAATCTGTTAACATTTAAATCGACACTAAAGACCCAGTGTTCTTTGTAAACTGCAGAAGTTCTTTGGAATCAGAACTTACATGCATAATACTGTGCAAAATCAATGATTCCTGATACCCTTCTCCCTTCCAGTCCTTTCTCCACACTGATACCGGTTACAGCTTAAGAAAAAAGCTGCCATTTTCCTGCTTAAAATCCTTTGGGTCCCTATAAAATGTAAACTACTGAGGTTGGCAAATAAGAGCCCTCACAATCTGGCCTCACTCTACCTTCCCAGACTTACCAGTTACTCGTGGATTCTACTTTCTGCCACACTAAACTCACTGTTTCTCTGAAGTAGCCAAGTCCTCCTACAGTCTGCCTTTGCTCAGCGTGTTTGTCTTGGTCTGGCATAATTCCCAGTTAGTAAACAGTTGAAATGTCACCTTAGGTCTCTTATTTCCCCTCAAGGTAGACAGTTGCTATATGTCTGGTGGTCCCAGTCACATATTCATACCTCTATAACACCACTACCATCTAGAATTATACTTTTTATGTGCTTGTTTGTTCCAGAGGGAAGGGATCCTTGTCTGACTCATTTAATGCCTTATCCAAAGTGCCTGGCACAATGTACCTACTCACTGGTGGATGCATGAGGGCAGGGACTGTCCTGATTCTTTTGTATAGCCTCAGTAAAATGACACATGGCAAGAGCTCCAAAATGTGTTTCAAGGAATTTATTTAGAAGGGAGATCTCTGTACAGATAATTAAAACACAGAACTGTTAATAGATGGAATTTGATTAAAGTGACTTTGTAAGTAGGAATTTTAACTTGCTAATTAGACTACAGCATGTGTTTTTTTGAAATGTGGCTTAAACTTTTCAGTTTGCAAATGTTGACATTCCCAAGCTCTACCTACTCAGAACTGATATTCATGATTGTAGTTGCTAATCAAGCACTTTTAGTTAATGTCTGCATTTGGAAACACCTTAAAATTTTATCTTGCAAATGTATGGCTAAAATCAACAGCTATACCTAACATTAAGGCAGTATAGAAAATGGATTTGGACACACTGTTGGCAACTATTTCCTCTTCAAGCTGGCTGCTAGAAAAATACTAGTTTCTTGTCTCTAGTGTCCTCTTAAATCTCCAAAGAATTATTTAGAAATATTGTATTCTGACTGAATTTGCCAGTATGTACATGTCATAAAAATTACAAGTGATTCCTTACTAAGCAGAATTTATATATATTCCTCACCCATGGGTTTTAAAACATTAAGTTTTAGAGTCTTTGCCAATACCAGCATGTTTAATAAAGGAAAAGTCTTTCCATTATGTTTTTATAGAATAATTCATTTTTCTGCTTGCTGAATTTAGACCTGGCTTAATATTCTTACCTGTTAAAAACTACTGGGGGGAAAAAAGATGGTGTATATGGAAGGAATTATTACAGTGTAAAAGTAACAATTCAATATTTTTATGAATGTGTTATATGTCCAATTGCCTAAACTGGTAAACCGTACTAGATTGATACAGTCTAGACTTAAATTATGTGCTTGTGCAAACAAAACAACTTAGATGATGTCCCCATTAAAATGATATAACTTTTCCTTTAAGTTAAAATATGTTCTCCAGCTCCTTGACAGTTAAATGAGTAACAAAGCCCCTCTTTTCATGTGCTATACATAATATTATGAATTAATTTTTTTAAGGAAATAAAAATACAGAAAGTTCTACCCCTTTTTCTTTTGGAAAAAGGAAATCCTCTCACGTGTTATATCTTAGGTTTATTCAGGTTGTCAAATCATTTAAAACACAGATACCATTAAAAAGGTCTACTGAGATTGCATTTTTATAACCATCAACAGGGAAGATGCACGAGAACAGCACTTAAACCAGGTAAGGTGTTTCTATATATGGAAAGCATTTAAGATCTTTTCCCTCTCCTACAAAATGACACATGACCAAAATCACAGGAAGTTCTCACTGCAGCAATAAAACCACCTGGGGTAGACAGGATATGAAAAGGAGCTGAAATAGAGCAATTCAGGCAGAAATTCCTCCAAACCACTGCATTAAAATGGTGGTGTCTGATCTGAACTTCATTTGAACTTCACCCAACTTTAATTATGTCCCTTGAGTTCATTTTGTTTGGTGGTTAATTTTAATGTTTTTGAAGAGCATGAAAACAAAATACTTACATTATATGGCAGGGTTCATTTCTGTCTTTCAAACAGTGCCCATTTTCCCATTTCTTTTTGGTAGGAAATGACGTTTTTACATATTTTGAACCAGCATGGGTACTTTTGACTCCACACCAAGGTGCATCTAGAGTTAGCAAATAGAAGTCTCTTCAGAAGTTTAACTTTTTGAATTATTTAAATGAATGTTACCAAACTAATACATAACCTCTAAAATATAAGTCATGATTCAGCTTCAAACATGGCAAAAAGCAACAGAAAAGTTCTAAGAAAAACACAAGATAAAATCTTGAACTGTACAAATTCTTAAATGTTTTTATAAGACTCACTTTTATTCCCCCTCCACCATTATTGGTGGTGTATGACATGCTTTTAAAAGAAGACCTAAAGCTAAAAATACAATTGTAACATGAAAACATTTAGGTTAAATTTCTATATTGCCTCAACTGAATATAAAATGGTGGCTTTGAATACTGGGGTTATTCACTAACCTATTTCCTTAATTAAGAATAATAGCTTACACATTCTAAAAGCATTGTACTTTTAATGAGCTTATTTCGTTTTCATTACTCCCCAAGGAAATAAACCTAATTTCTTCAGAATCGCTCGGCCTTGATTTTACCAAAAAAGTCAATGTGTATAAAAAGACCCTTAAGTTCCAGGGTACAGATACAAAGTTTAGCTTCTAACCTTGTTTTATTTTAAGAGGCAACAGATTATTATCAGAAATTCTTAGACTAAACCAATTTGATTTAAATTTCTGCACTTTAAAAAGTACTGTAGAATTAAGCGATTATAAAGAAGGCACTGTGAAAAAAAAAGTTCTGAATAGTTTTTGAAACCCTGAGCAAAAATGCTTAGTTAAGACTCATTATTTTAATGAAATATTCAAAACTACCACCTTAGTTACTGACCTCCTTTTAAGTGCTTAGGCTTTGCTAATTGAAAAAAATCACTTGCAAAAATATTTTTCCATCAATTGATAACAACCCCCAAAGGTTTTCTAAAAAGTGTTATCTGTTGAGGCTGATATGCTGTTTTAAAATAAAATACCTGTTCAATTTTCTTTAGCTTTTTGGCATAGGTTAATATGAAAAACTTCTAAAAACAAACTTACCAGTCTCAATCATTAATTTTTCACTAGGTATTGACTTCAAAACTTCCAAATTAGCCTCAGTTTTCAGTGAGCTTAAAAAAAGATATTAATGTATAAAATTAAAAGGTGCATTTAATGACTCATTTTCATACTACAAACGTGTAAAATGGATCACAAAACTCACTCAAAATCCCAAAACAAACTTTGGTAGGCTACAGAGGCAGTGTACCATTGTATCTGCACATCCCTACTAAGGTTTTAACTGCCAAGGCTGAAAACCTTTTTAAACAAAGGGCTACTAGGCCCTTGCCAGCAAGAAAAAAACCAGGGCTTGGGGTATGAAGTCTAAACCACCAGCAACAATGCCAAGTGGAAAAGGCAACTTGTCAGCCATCCTGGAGTTGCTGAGCATTTTTATACATCAAGTTGGGGAGTGGGGTGTAAATTGTTCTGAAAGAATTTACAGTGTCTATAGATAAGGGGTAGGAGGAGGTGAAGCAGGGTCAGCTCTGGGATAGGCTGAGTCTTCCAGGAAGAAGTGTCTGTCCTGGGACTGGCTGTGGGCAACAGACTGGAAAGTTCAAGCAGAGCTCCTGGAGTTCTATGGCGCCTGGCTAGCCTCTCTTTTTAGATAATTGTGGAAATAGCCACCAGCAGTTAATCCAAAATTCCACCAGACAACATACAGGAATGTGAACAATATTAGCTGGCCCTGCAGTTAACTGATTAACCCCTTCCTGTCTCTTCCTTCAACACTGGCCTGCTGTAACTTAATTTAGGACATTTCAGAATTTTCTCCTTGTCACTAGCCTTACTGAATCCAGATAAGAGATATTCCAACTAGATCCTGCCTTTGCAGGGATGCAATAACTTTGACTCAACTTTTTAAAAGAATTCACTTCTCTGAGCAATTTACATAACTTAGAGTAGTATAGTCTAAGCTTTCTCTTCCTGTTACACCTGTTTTCCAGAAATCTACAGAACATTTCTCTATTAGCAAAACTCACCTTTTTTGTTTTTATAGGTTCTCCTTTTTGAATATCTATAATCTTATTTTAGTAGGACTTTGGGGGAGGGGGGAGTGAAATGTTTGTCTAGTTTACCTTAAGTACCAGGCTTTTAATTAATGTCCTCTAGAAAACAAAATTCTTATTTTCAGCCACCTTAATACTTGGTCAATATGAATATTTTCTAAAATATACTGATACGCTTTATAATGCGGAGAAACAGAGCTTGCCACTGCAAAATATGCCTTTTGGGATATTAAGCAGGTTATTTTTAAGAAAAACAGGAAAAACCTTTGACCTTCCCCCCCTAACTGCCTAAGAGAATTTAGATAGAGGACCTGCACCATTGAGAGAGCTTTCATCATAAATAACAATAGTTTAGTCAAACTAAGTGTGACCTAAAGGAACCTACAAGTAGCAAGGCCCATTAGATCAAAGTCCTCTAAGTCCCATTGTTAAAGATGGCCCAGCAAACATTTGTTTAGCAGACATTTGCTTTTCATCTCCACCAATTGCCTTCCTCCCTTTGTAGTCCCATAGCACAACTCGCCCCCCCTTCCGTAGCTCATGATGGCAATGTACCCCTCAACTGCCTCATCTGTCTTCTGGTCTCATATTTTTATGGAACTCCCACATATACCTACGTAATAAGTTTGAACATTTTCTCCTGTTATCTCATGTTAATTTGATTACAGAGTCCAGGCAGAAGAACTTAATGGGTAGAAGGAAAATTTTTCTGCCCCCACAGTTTGGATACTAAATTTAAAACTTTTCACCAAATTAACAGTTTGCATATTTTTGATCTCATGAAATCAAGTCTGACTGACTTATTAATCTTCTCCAACATGTACTCCATGCTTGTAAAAATTGATCCAAATATAGAAATAAATACTACCAGAAGAAATATATATATATTTTTAATAATTTTTAAAAAATATATCTTTATTGATTTCAGAGAGGGGAAGGAAGGAGAGAAAGAGACAGAAACATCAATGATGAGAGAGTCATCCATTGATTGGCTGCCTCCTGCATACCCCCAACTAGGTGGGGATCGAGCCGGAAACCTAGGCATGTGCCCTGACCAAGAATCGATTCGAGATCTCCTGGATCCTAGGTCAACACTCAACCTGGCTGGGCCAGAGGAAATATTTTTAATCAAAGCCAATATCCTGCCCAGCCGGGTGTGGCTCAGCGGCTGAGTGCCGACCTAGGATCCAGGAAATCAGGGTTCGATTCCCGGTCAGGGCACATGTCCGGGTTGCAGGCTGCAGCCAATCAATGACTCTCTCATCACTGATGTTTCTCTCTCTCTCTCTCTCTCTCTCTCTCTCCCTTCTTTTCTCTGAAATCAATAAAGATATATTTTAAAAAAAAAAAGCCAATATCCTTATTTAAAGGTTTCCCATTTAAGGAAGAACAATTATGTGGTCAAGTTCCCATTTTCTTGGGGAGGGGGATTATTAGAAACCAAAGACTTTGTCACAGTATAAATTACCATATCGAAGAGACTCAGATTAAGACCACAATAATTAAATTTCACAATAAGAATAGAAATACTGACTTTGATTAAATGACTAATCCATTAATTCTGTTAATGTAGGGAGGAAAAAAGCTAAGTCTTTATAAACTCAAGATCATTTAGAAACATCTGAGACAGACTTAGTAGTTCATACGGATAGAATAAAGGCCCTCTACCCCCTTCCCTTAAAAGCCATCTCAAAATAACAAGAAAATAAAAACAGCATTATTTTGATGAAACTAGGAGACATTTTTAACCCCTAACCAAAATACATAGAGTAGAAAGTGGATGGAGAAATGATAACCTATATTTATCTGCTAATCCACTTAAATGCTATATTGGTGCCTGCAGAGAGAGAAATACTGACAAGTAAATCAATTCATCCAAGAAAGTTGTAAGAACTGAAAGAACCAGGTAAAGGCTGGGATCATACAGGGGACTGAAAAGGGGGCTTGTTTGAAAAATTGGGGTAAAGAGAAGATGGGAATCCCAGATTACCTTCCCATGAATTGGTGTAGAGATGATTACCTTTGCCCCCATCCAGGGGGGAGGAAGGGGAGGAGGGGGAAGGAAAGGAGAGAAGGGGGGAGGGGAAGAGAAGTGTACAGTCTGGAGAATTTAAATCAGACTGGACTAGTGAGCAAGCACAGGAGTGCAGGGGTGAGGCATGGAACTGAAGATGGAGACCTCTCTCTAACCCCACCCTGCTTCAGAACACAGGCACATTTATGAATCTCCACCTGTTTTCAGCAGCGATCAGAGGATCCTCTCTGGAGAAACTGAACCAACCTGGAGGAAAATCTCCGCAAGCTGACATTTAGGAATCCCTGCTGAGAATGTCAGTGGGCCACCTGACTGGCTTGCCAGTTGATGGGCTATCTCACCACTGAGCTTCCAATCAGCTTTTTCTCTTTTTTTTTTTAACTTTTACAATATACAGGGAAGAACTGCCTGACATTTGAAAAAGGCCTCCATTGTGATAAGAGACCAAAACAACAAAAGGGGAAAAAGGAACTAAGAGCATTTTTCAGCAAACAGAAAATAACTTTCAGAACTTTCAGCAAAACTTTCAAAAACTAATTCTTCAGAGATGAGAAGATGCTGCAGAAAAAATATTAGGTGGAAGTGTTTGTGTTTTTTTAAATCCACTATCTAGACAAATTTTCAAGAGGGAAGAGTACAATATATTCACTTTCAAATGTACTACATCAAAACAAATACATGGGACCTAAAACCAGTTCTATCACAGACGAGACACTAGTCCAAACAAGCAGAAAGGTGGAAGGGTCTGGAAGGAATGGAACTATCAGATTAGGCAGATGTTCTTACGTGAAAAAACAGATAAAAGCATTTTACAGAGATGCTGGAAAGTGTGAGAAGGCTTGAAGTTGAGAAGAAAGCCACGTACGCAAAAGGATGAGGGACGTTACTCCAAGCGAATAAAAAAGTGGTAAACACACAGGCCAGCAGTCAACAGTACACAGACATCGTAATGAAAACAACATGTGCACAGCCGGGAATTCTGAAGGAACTACGTCGAGGACTATGGAGGATAATGCAGGTAGGGAGCAGTAAGAGGGGTGAACTTAAGTGCGCACATACCTTCATGAGAATAAAGGGAATGAATGAATTACAGCAATGCTTATTCAGAAGGCGGCAAACAGTAATGTGGGTGCCCCTGGAAAAGCTGACTTGGGTAGAGGACATGCTGGAGGACTGTTTGTTAAAAGCCTCTCAGTACTATTGGATTTTTTATCCCTTATGCGTGTATTCCTTTGCATATTAATTTACAATTTAATCAAATAATTTAAAATACAGAAGACACACCTAGGACATTTAAGTCTGAACTCTATAGCAAACAGTTAATTTCATGATTCTATTTCCTAAGATTTTAGTAAAAAATAATAGAAAAATAATTTTAAGGAAATGAAATTAATGAGGGAAAACAATCTTATAATACTATTTTCCAACTTATTTAATGAGCTACTTTGACATCCTGTAAAAAGACATTGGTGGAGGCTCACCAAATTTGGAAGAAAATGAGCCTGTATTGGGTGTGTGAGGTATTAGTTTAAAAGTCATTTCTAATAAAAAGTATCCTGTAACCAAAAAATTAAACACTTAAAAATATTTTTAATAGTTTTAAAAATAGCAGAAAGGGCACCAAGCGAGGAGCCAGAGGACACAGGTCCTCACACTTTGAATTACTTTATACCTGTTTCTTAGCTTCTCTAAGCCTCAGTTACTTGGCTTACAGAGATGTATGTGATCATGTCATGGTATAACTTTTCCCCCACGGTCAAACCTCTCTCTCACACTCACACTCACACACATACTGCTATGAACAGTCATGTTTTAAAGGGACAAAATAACCTGAAAATAAATTGCATTGCTAGAGAAAGCTAGCTGCTGAGCTCAACACAAAATTATTTTTTCCCATTACTGGAACACAGGGTAGCTGTTTTTTTTTAACCCTCACCCAAGGGTATTTTCAGTTGCTTTTCAGAGACTGGAAGGGGGTGGAAAGAAATATGTGAGAGAGAGAGAGAGGCATCGACTGGTTGCCTCCCGCATGAGCCCTGACCAGGGCTGCGGATCGAGGTACATGCCCTTGGCCAGAATTGAACCTGGGACCCTTCAGTCCACGGGCAGAGGCGCTAACCACTGAACCCACATGGCTAGGGCAGGGTAGTGTTCAAGCTTTAACTTATAATCGTACTGTTCAACTTCCTACATAATTACTGAAATTCTCAGGCCAAGATCAATGCAAAATACAAACTTTAATAAAAAAATGTATCAGCAATTCACTATAAAACCATTTAAGGAAACTACTTAATATAAATGTTAAAAAAAAACAGAAAACAAGAACCTACCAACCATTAAATCCTATATAGAGATCCAAGTCAATCAAAGCAGCTGCTGTTTCCTTGGTACCATCAAATGAATGCACCTAAAGACATATAGGCATGATTCTATTATAATGAATGACTCTTCCTTTAAAATTCTAAATAAAATCAGTAAGATTTTCTAAGCAAAAATATACGTGCATTAAGGGTTTGGGACCATAAGATTTCAAATGCGGTGGTGCCTACAATTTTTATTTTCAAATTAATGCTCACAATTATAACCTGTCATCTCCAGTGACATGAGACAAGAAGGAATTAGTTGGCTGCCAAAGTTTCTGTCTTTGTGGTGGTGTGGCTCTCTCTCCACCAGCATTATGGCATGTACACATTTTAACATGTATCTCTGGGAAAGAGGACTGGACTAGAGCCACATTCTTAGGCAAAAGCATGAGAAAAGTTAAAAATGCTATAAAAGTGTTAAAAAATATTTTTAAATGTTCAATTTTTTGGTTACAGGGTACTTTTTATTATGACTTTTAAGAGGCAAGCTTTAAGACATTTATAAAGAGGTGGTAAGAACATTGCTAAAACAGTGCAAATTGTTATATAATCAATCAGTTTAGTAGTCCCCCCCCCCCC